TAAGAAATTGCAGGATGAGCACCGAAAGATTAGCGAGACGGTAATGCAACACGTGCTTCTAAAGCTGGATGAAGTGGACACCGGCGGCGACCCAGATATTCGTGCAAGGAGAAAGGATCTAGTGAACTATGTTCAAGCTATACTGAAGGACATCGATGATCTGGCTCCTGATGCCAGCAAGAATAGGTGATGGCACAAACCACCTCGCAACCTCAGCCAGCGGGTGCAGAATTCGCGTTACGCCTAGGGCTGAAATCGATCTCGACTCAACCACAGCTATATTACATGCATATACAGGTGTTCTTATTCCGGTGTGAGAAAGACGTCTACCAGATAGTCGCGATAGGGCAACAATATTTTCGCGTGCGGATATCCCCCGGTTGGCAAGATAACTAAGCATTCATCGCAAAGGCTCTCCAAGCTTATTGTGCTGATAATAAGAGACCTACCTAGTTATGCTGACAAACAGAACATGTTCAATTTACCCCCCGTGTTCTCCTGTTCTTCTACAAAACACAACAAGGACCAAGTCCCTTATGTAAAAGAATATGACGATGCATACCTTGTGAATGCTGAACGAAGGCCAGTCTTTCAAGTTGTCAGTAAATGCTTTTTGCTATCGCCAGTTCGGGGTTGTTTGTAAATGACCGCTTTGGTCCGTTGCCCTGCCGGTTGGTGGGGTTCAGCATATCGCCACTGTGGCTTGCGTGCCGTACCTCATCAAAGTTACTTAGGTACAAAGATTTGGCCGGTCGGTAGGTTTGTTTAGCCCTAGACCACGAGGCCACAAAAATTCAGTCTCGCTTCTATGGAAGACCCACTATGCCGTAACAGGGTTAGTGGGATTTGTACAGCGGGCACAGTCTACGGATTGTGCGTTGCCCATAATTTTCTGGTGGCATCTCTTCTCCGCCTGCCGACCAACAACAACACATCACGGCCCTACTAACGACCACAGCAGAGGATTAATTCAATAGCTCCCTAGACGCATTCCTGTTGCGCTCTTGAGCTATTTTTCCTCCCAGTCTTTATTTTCTTCCTTTTCCTTTCTGTTCACCTCAGTTCCCAACGGTGACGATTTGAAAAGATGTCGTCCTTCGAGTCCGTTGTAAGTGGTATAATCCAACTACAACCAGCCATTCGCTTGCGACGACCTCATTAGCCGTGGTGCGGTGCTCGAGTGCATTGCCAATTGCCGGCATGTGTGGGAAACGGCGATCACGGAGGCTGTCGCGGGTTGAACATCGAATTCGATAATCGGACTAATACTAATATGAATGGCATCTCTAGGTCGTCATTGATGGCAAAGGCCACCTCCTTGGCCGACTCGCCTCTATCGTCGCCAAGCAGCTCCTCAGCGGCCAGAAGATCGTGATTGTTCGTTGCGAGGAGCTGAACATCTCGGGCGAGTTCTTCCGGGCTAAGCGTACGTCCTACCCACCGACCTTCATTCCGATCCCGCTGCCTATCCGATATTGATCCGCGCCGGATAACGAATCGAAACTGGATACTTTGTTGGACGAACTGTCAATGAATTGGAGCTGATGTTGGGATTATAGTCAAGTACCACGCCTACCTGCGCAAGCAGACCCGATTCAACCCTACCCGTGGTGGTATGTCTACAGCACCGAGTCGCGCTTCGGATACGAGGTGTAATTGTTGGAAAAACGAGTTGTCTGACTGGTATCAGGTCCCTTCCATTTCCGGGCTCCGTCAAGAATCTTCTATAAGGCCGTCCGGGGCATGATTCCTCACAAGACCGCCCGAGGTGCCGCTGCCCTTGAGCGCCTAAAGGTCTTCGAGGGTGTCCCTCCCCCGTATGACAAGCAGAAGAAGATGGTCGTCCCCCAGGCTCTCCGTGTTCTACGACTACAACCCGGCCGAAAGTACTGCACTGTCGGCAGACTGAGCCACGAAGTTGGCTGGAAATACCAGGACGTGGTTGCTCGGTATGTGGAATTCAATCTCTGGGGAGTAGTTGCCTTGGCTGTAGTTTAAAAGCCATGTGTTGCTGTGAGCCCTCGAAAAATAGGCTACTAACAGTTTCGCAGTTTGGAGGAACGCCGCAAGGCGAAGGGTGCCGCCTATTACGAGCGCAAGAAGCTGGCACAGCGCCAACTCACCGAGGCCAAGAAGAGCGCAAAGGTAGACAGCAAGACGGCCCAGACTCTAGAGTCTTTCGGCTACTAAACTAGTCTTGTTTTTTCAATCGTCTGCTTTTTTTTCCGATACACCAACAAAACCAAACAATCATCCTATCATGGGACTTGCAACTAGATCCGGCGTGTGGGTTAGGGAAACTCGATCATAGCATTTACCTTTGTCGTTCCGCGCAATTCGAGGGAAAGGCAAGGGGGTCATAGGGTTGGGGATATGTTCACTACTGGCTCCGGTCCTGTGTTCACGCATTTCGTCGTCTAGGCACCGAATGAAAATGAAGAACCAAATCACGAAGAAACACGGCTTGGCGATTCGGTTAACGTGTGATGAGAATTAATATGCCCACGAGCTTTTACTCCATACATGACACGGAGTAATTCAGTCTGGCTCGCTGATAATTCAGAAAATTTCCGCCGGAAATGACGAAATTCGCATTTTCAGCCCTACCCGATAAGCCTCTATGCCGAGCAACTCTGAATGATTCGTTTGTTTGACTGGAAAGCCAACTAGATTCGGTCTCTCGATATCTGTTCCGCCTTGGCCTTTCACGCTTCTGGATTCGACCCCAGGCATGATTTAGTCATAGGACGATCATTGTGACCGATTGTAATCAGCGTATCAAAATTATCCAAGACGACCATAACGTCATACTGTTAAAGCCATTGTCAGCGTACGAGACTCCTCACGCTTAGGTTGGCTGGGAGAGCTACCTCATGTAGTCGGCCAACCCAGATTCCAACAGCACGAAACATGTATTCTTGCTCGATAGTTGCATGTAGCGTGTCCCTGACATGGTCTACCAAGGAAAGGAATTAGCTAGCAGCCGGGTATCAGATCAGTATTCGGTGACCTCCATAAACGCATCTGCCTATGTTCTTATACGCAGTGGACTCTAGGATATGTACGGCCGAAAGGGATGTTGTTAAAAATGATACCTGCAACTAACTTGGTCCTATTCCCTTATGTACTTTACCTGAGGATAGGTAGAATGCTCTAGGTTTACAGCCGCCACCTCGTTCACATGTACGCCCGTTACGATAGATGACCTCTACACGTACGTTCGGAAAGCTATGGAGCTATTTATCTGAAACAGGTTACCCTAGACTCATTACACCAGATTGTAGATCACATGGGCACGCCATGTACAGAGGTACCTACTACCTAGTAGGTACTTTCAGTTACTCGTGCCTGTTTTGTGCAAAGGCGCATCACCCTTATGAAATCGATAAGACGGGGGAATTCCACAGGTGCAAGACATCCATGGATCAGGCTGTTCCTTGCCTGTTTCATTTTCACACGCAATCGGTTTTACTCTTGGAGCTGGCTATTTTCTTTCTTTTTGGGCACGATTTTGGTGTTTTCGTTTTCAGTGACCATATTTCGTGCTCCGATCTCGACCCTCCCTGCCCCCTTTTTACTATGTCCTTGGACTCAGGTTGGGGAAGTACATCTCGATATTCGTCTAGGTGAAAATGTACGTAGCTTGGGACAAAAGCCACTATGTAAAAACTCTTCGCTGTTGCTTTGAATCGTTCTGGGATGAATTTGGTGCAGCAGCTGTACGTACGGTATTTCCAACCCGGCCGCGCACGATGCCGGACCAGGCGCGGGAACTACTAGATGTCATTTCATCCTGACGGTCGATAAAATTTCCAGGTTTTGTATAACGACAACAAATGGTTTTTTTTTCTTTAGGCTGCCTGTGCTCCTGACTAACTGTACCCGGTGGAGTGTCTTATTGTCGTGGGCTGACGCCGGCTGCAGATACGACCTAGGTGAGTAGCCAAATACTCACCGGGGTTTATGCTGCCACTTGCGGAATCAAGAGACAACAACCCCTCTAATCGTATCATTTACTCGATATACCTACTATTCTACGGCGACGTTAAGGCCGAGCAAGTGGCAAAGGGCCTCTTTCGTGGTTAGGTATCGTATCTGTCAGAAGGAGCTTAAAGGGGGAGATTCCCGGGGGCTTCTATATCCAGCTTCGTATCACCAAAGATGTGACTGAAAACTGTCAGTGTACGTACGTACATTCTCTTACTTATCGTAACTCTGGTTCATACCTAAGCCCACGGCCTATCATCTTACGCCAGCCGGCTGTCACGGTTCTACTTTTCTTACCTACCTCTTACCTTAGTGTCGCAAGTTGGCGTTGCAGTGCCCGTCCAATATCAACTTTACCGTCGTCCGGCTGCAATATAGACTATTAGTGATTCCTGGTAAAGAAATATTTCAAAAGTCTCAAGGCCTTCCAGATTAGCAAAAGGTCCCTAGTCCTACTGGCATGAATATCATCCCCCGTGCTCGCCAGGGCCACGTCTAGGCTTTAATCACACCTTCCCCCTTCCATTCGTGCATCTTTTCGCACTTACCTGCTTCAACAAAGGACCGACTAAGCATGAAAATCACCGTGGCGCAGGACGAATACTAGCAAGTTCCTCCCGGCAACTGCTTGACATTATCCCATGGAACTGCATTCCGGGCTGGCATTCCCCTGACTCCTATACCATTGACGATTATCCCCTTTCCTGCTCCCTACCTATAAAGATAGCCAAGACCTCCCGCATACAACACACACTGCAAAACAAAAAAAAGGCAATCATCAAACAACTTCAAATCTCAACCTCCCGCTTGACACAGCCCCCTTAACGCATTGCAGATAACAAGAAAAAGAAAAAGACAAAAAATATGGTACAAGGGGAATTGAACCCCTGAACGTTGGACTCGCGGGGAATCGAACCCCGGACCACTCCCATGCTAAGGGAGTATTATACCACTAAACCACAAGCCCGTGTTTGAAAAACACCCGCCCCGAAGAATCATCAGGGGGAAGAAACTGCTCAGTATGAGGGTCGAACTCATGACCTTCGCATTACCAATGTTATACAGTTTGACCTGTATAATATTAGTACGACGCTCTAACCAACTGAGCTAACCGAGCACGTTTTGGTTCTTTGTTGGAAGACATGCATCCAATTGCCGGATAAGACCTGTACGGTAGGTTACAGGAAGTGGTTGTGTACTTGTAGGTTGGACGTCGTGCCTTTGGAAAAGCGTTTATTGAAAAGCTTGTTGATTGCGCCATGTGCCGGGATTGCAGCGGGAATTAGTTAGTTAAGAGGTCAAGAGTATGTTTCTACAAGATATGGCATTACATATGGAGATTCTGGTTTGGCAAAGGGTGTTTGTAGATGGCGGGGTTACCTATTGCTAACCTTAACCTACATCTCATGTTCCTAGCCGTCCCGACTCCCCCGTACCCGTCCCGACTCCCCCGTACCCGTCCCGTCCTGTCCTCAATCGCGCCAATTGCCATGCATGCGCACTACCAAACAGCGTGACTGACTCTGGTCCTGCTGGAATCATACCTACCAGATAAAATAGACATACCTTTTGTGTGCGCTTTTATCCTGGAACTATGGTGCCGAACTGGTAAAAGCTACTGCAGCAGCAATGCGGGGGGAATCTGTTTTTCTTGTCGTCTTACAGCTCATCGTCTCATCAAAGTTACGGAAGACAAAGGGTTGACTGCAGGTGACTACCTTAGCAACGCCGACCAATAAGAATCACCGTTTTTAACTGCGAGTGCCCAATATAGCAATCTAACCACCTTGCTCTAAAAGTTGTCCTGGTCTTGTTTAAAACCAAACAATGAGATGTAAAAAGTATAAGTGGTCTATTAATACTACATTTAAGTCATGTTTTATATACTAAGCACGTGTATTATAAAACGCTGTAACCTAGCAGCCTATACGTGTATATGTTAAGTAAACTTGCGAGGTAGGTAAAGACCAAGTGACTATAACATCTTCATGCGCTTCACTTATCCCCTTTCCCCATGTTTTACATATATCATTATCACCTACTTTATAGCCTCCTGATAAAACAAGATTTTGGTAGACGCTGTGGGAAAACGCTAAATATAACAAATTCTATAAAACATGCGACGCCGCCATCGAAAAAGACCCATTCCTCCATAGTTACGGTCTAACAACCATTTTTTGTCACCCCGTGTTTTGGCGTTTCCCGATTCTCAGCTTCAACAGAGGGTCTTGTTCGCCGGGGCATAACCGATTGATGCCTTAACGATTACCAGAAAACAGAGATCACGGACCCCAATAGGAGTCTGCGTCTGCTGATTTCTTCAGCGCATTCCCCCCCTCGTCGGCCATGATGTCGTCCAAGGTGCGGTCGTCAACGCCAGTAGCCTGTCGCAGCGGTGACGGCCTGAAACTCGCACTGCCAGAGTATTGTCCTTGTGATCGGCGCGCTAGACGATCAGAGAAACTTTCGCCGCCCTCCTTTTTCTCCTTGTTCATAACCGCGCGGCGTAATACCAACTCCTTGTAGTCTTCCAAATCGCTCCCTATATCATCAAGGACCGTCCAGAGTAGGTCTAGATACTCCCACCCCCCCAACTGCGTTATCGGATCCGATGTATCCGCAAGCATGGCTTTGAGGCTGCGATTAAACGTGTCCTGCAACGGGAGGTTGTTTTTAACTAGCCCCTCGGCTTCTGTGACGACTATGCGCTCAACCTCGGACATGGAATTCTTGAATGCATCGACACCGAAAATGTCAGAACGTATGTGTTTTTCCCTTATCAACTCTAAAGCCACCCTTGCTCTCTGAAGACGCGTTGTGTAGGAATCGCATACGACAAAGATCGTCATGAGCCTTGGATTGGACAGCGAGGGCTTATTGGCGATTTCTATTGGTATACGACGAACGGGGGTTGAAGGGCCATCGTCCATGCTGCAATTTCCCCGGGGATCGCCTCGGGAAGATAAGCTATGATGTAGTTCTATACCGTGTACGGATGTCTGACCGGATGGAAGAGAAATAACTTGAGCGACAGGAAGTCAGCTCTAGTATCGGACTGGAAATGTTTCGGCTTGTGGATTTCAATCCGGCAAGATAGGTACTCACACAAATGTATCAACTGTTTTGCTATGGTGGCCCGGTCTCCCACATCATCCTTATTTGGGTCGTTTTGGTGCCCTGCCGGAATGAACTGTTTGCGCTCTCCTCGACCGACTCCTGTTAAGTGGGTTATTGTACAGAAACAATGCGAGGTCGATAAAATGTCACTCAAGAAAGAACCGGTCTTGAGCCATAGAGACTGTTCCCTCGTTGGTCGTTTGTTATTTTTGTAGTAAAGAGTGACTTTGCGGTTGGAAGGTGCGATCAGTCGCTCAACGACCGTCAATGGCTGAAGTAGGTGGGTATTTAATCAACCATAGTAGCCCGTGCTACGATGTTTGAAGGGATGAGAATACCTTATGTATGCAAAGGCCGTGTTTATCAGTGGAGCTACATATAAATGAATTCCTAGGCAGGAACGTTAATTTGCCATCAAAGCAAAGCGCTGGGAATCTCTTGAGGTCTATGTCGACATGACGGCAAGGGCAGGTACAACGGTATCAACCCAAGGGAGCGAGCATAGGAGAACAGAACATGTAACCCTCTTCTGCTTTAAATTATATTCAAGGACAATAATCTGCTGTTTTGTTCTTAACAACATATAGTTTCGAACTAATGTGTTTGCTGCAAATTTATAGCAAATATACTACCCATAACCTTTTATTGGTAGTAACACCCCTTTTCTTTTAATTGTTAAATCGGATTTTCTTCTGTAAAAATTGGTATTTGTTAGACCTAGGGCTTCTGTATATAGGAATAGGGGTCACGTCTTCTCTCGATTCCCGCCTCGGACACTGGAACGCACCTACCTGACGTGGTGTGTCTTAGGGACAAACAAAGGTAATGTAGGTAGGTGCTTGACGCTTCATGTTTCCGTGTAATACTCGGCAGGTACCTGGACGTCCAGATTAGGTACACCTATTGACGAAACGCATGCTAGCGGTTTCCAAACTATAGATTAGCCGCTTTGGACTCGGCACCTCAGGAACAGAGACCTGCTTTTCTATGGTACAGTATTTTATAACATACTGTGAGCCGCCTGTCTACATGTAGGCAAAACGTGTTGTCGACAGTGAAAGCAGCAGACGAAAACAAAAAGTTCACTAGGTAGGGCGGTTGTCACGGCAAGAACAGCCCCGGACTCCCGAAGTGCCCTGGCAAAATAGATGCTTACAAGGGAACGCTCGATCTTAAGCATGTCCCTTTGGACAAAATACAAAGATGCGACGAGGATACAACGAGTACAATAACCTTTGAAGAATACGAGAAAAAATCATGATCTATTTCCTGTTGAACTGCCACTCATATACCAAGCACCCGAAGAAAGGCAGCGCGATTCACAATAGGCGTGGGTAGGTCAGGGATAGGATCAGCTGTCCAACAGCTGTCCTTTATAGGTTACCGCAGTTGATGACACAAGTTGGGACCTTACGCCATCCCCACATTGGAAGGAAATCGTTACGTGAGATTACGTGATGGACGTTACGTGACCGGAGACCTATTGTGCCGTTGCCAAGGATAACGACAATTCATTGCTGACAAACGAACCTCGAGAGGAGGCCAATAGAAAAACATCTATGAGTTGTAATACTCCTACTGTTCAGAACATCACGTTTTTCGATCATCTCTTGTGAGCCTATCTTATTTTTGTTGTATTATTCGTCGATTGGATTAGCGTCGGTTCTTCTATTTCATATATTATAAACAGTATCTCGCGACGGTAGAATGAGTGCACAAGATGGACCACATGAAGCCGCCACGAGGAGCGCGGAGGAAGAACTAAGGGTGGGAAACAACGCCAGAGCACCCGAGTCACATTGCCTTCAACTGACTGCTTTGATAGAGGCGGCGTGAACGAGGGAAGCTTTCGCAGGCAAGATTCCGGAAAAAGCAATCCCAAGAGATACAGGCTATGCGAGAGCAAAATGAGAGCTTGAAACTTGCTATTTCAAGAATTGTAAATGCCGCGCAGCAGGGCAGCCGGCAGACCCTATTCAACGCCATCCGTGATGCCGGAGACATAGCTGGCATTAATGCATCTGCCATAACCGATAAAAGCTCTGACAGTGGCTCCTTCGATGATTCCACCATAGCTGACGACGCCGCGAAAGGATTCGAGCCTGTATCTCCAGAGAATCATGGCCTTGAAGAGGACAATACGACCAACAGCTCACCTAGCACACCATCGCGCTGGGACAACAGATCAAACACAACTGAACGGCAAGTGCATAGCAGAGCTTGGGCTGCATCTTGTGCGGCTTTGAAACGGAAGACAGCGTCTCGATCTAGCAGGGGCCTCAGTCCGCGATTAGACTACGGCATTTGGATCGATGCTAGCCGTGCCGTAAGAGTCTCCGAGCCGCCCCCCCTGATTGCCCCCTTTCTAGGAAAGGGACAAAACACATTTGCCGGCCAGGTGTTCTGGGCATGTGCGGATTATTTGATTGCGCTCTGCCGTGTTGTGACAACGCCGCGTTCGCCGTGTGAATGGTTCGACCGTCAACCTGAGAAACGTCCAGGTCCCAGAGAAGCTGAACAGCGCGTCTGGAGCATAATACAGCATACTCCGCCCATAGGGAACATAAAACTGGCGCTAACCTTGGCTGAGGCACATCTTGAGTTCCGCGAGCATGGTCATATATACGGTGACAGTCCTGTGAGCAACGGAGATACCAATACCCTGCTACAGCGAGACTTGGAGGAGCAGTACGCGGCGCTTGGTATGGACATGAGTGCGTGGATCAGCGTCCGGGAGCTGGAGACCCACGTACGACAAAAGCTCGGGGGTGAGGCTTTCGCACGGTTGGAACGAGCGATAGCTGCTCATAATAGCAAGACTATCGACCCAACATGCCAAGGGCTTCTTTCTAGCTCCGATGTGTGTCAGATCGTTAGGCTGCTTATCAAGAACCTAGCCGAGAGCTATGTCTGCTTCGGTGACGGGCCAAGGTGGAGAGTCGATAGCATCTCTGCACTGTTTGATGAAAACATGCTATCGTGACTCGGTCGAGAGAGCCC